ACACACACACACACACACACACAGACACACACACACGTGCGCGATCGCGTATGTGTAGCAGTGTGTATTTCAATGTTGTAGCGGAAGATTCATTCAATTTTGCTCATCATATCGTGCGTTGCTCATGCTATCGACGGAAAACACTCTCTCTCTCTCTCACACACAAAAAAAAATAATAATAAAAAAAAAAAAATTGGAAGTGTATATTTCCATGTTCTAGTGGTAGATTCATTCGATTTTGCTCATCTTATCGATGGAAGTACCCTCTCTTTCTTTCTCACTCGCTGACGATAAGACACGCACACAACTGGATCCCGCGCCACACACAACACCCCGCAAACCCTGCACTAAGCCCTCGCATCGTGCCACGCCCGTATGCACAACCCGACGCAAGGCCTCCGCTCCGCCACCGCAAGAAAGTCCACACGTCGTCGCATTTCACAGACATCGCGCCCTCGTCGGATGTCGAAAACCTCCTCGCGGGTCCGTGGGACTGCGCGAAATTTGCTCCGCGAATGGTCCGACTTCTTAGATCAGCCGGACACGCTGGGTCTGGTTTCCGGAACGTGAAACTCCCCACGAATAGATTGGAGCCTTGTTTAAAAAAAAATAAAAATAGAGCTAGTGTAAGTGCCCCGGTCTTAGAATGGGAAAAAATTCATCATGGCCAGTGGTGGTGATCCAAGATTGCCATCATGAAGAGCTTGATTGTTCGCCAAAAGCAGAAATATTGAATGTATATTTTAGTATAAAGTGAGAAGATGCATTCAGCATTTTTCACTTGGCCAGAGGTGGAGCGCGTCTCTACTTTGTGCCCCGAATCTGCCATTAAAGTTTACGGAAAGACAAACGTGTCATTATGGCATGTGAAGACTGTCAAACTTTGTTTCCATCATGGTGTTTCTTCAGGGAATAAACCATTCTCCCTCCAAAAGGCACTATGGGCTTACTGCACCACTTGCGAAACGCCAACAACTGTGTTTTCCACTGAAGTGTGTCAGACTAGAGGAGTCCTAAGTGTTGGCTGAACTCACCAACTCTGGCGAGTCTCGCGCCTGCTACAACGCCCTTTATCGAGGGACCTGTTTGGCTGGGAGCTCTTCAACAGCCATCAGTTTTGTAGCCTGACTGCCTATTCAGGCATACCGTGTAAATAGTTTTGGAACTTAGCAGATCATAGATGTAAGCAGAGATAAGGCTAGATTCATTCACAAAGTGGATTGTGCTCACCACAACCCACCTCCACAAAATTTCACTACCTGGATGGTTTTTCTTTTTTTTTAATCATCCGCTAGTGGTACCACGGGAGCTGCTAAGAGCACCCCCTCCTGTGGTAATCCCCTCAGATGGCTCCAGAGTCCATTTGTGGGGAGCTGGACCTGCTGGAAAACAGTCCAGTGTCCCTTACTAAGCCACCAGTACTTGGTACAACTATCAATGTCGAGCCTTCATCGCCCCTGTGTGCCAAG